GTGGGAAAAGTGACAGCTTTGAAAGCCACGGACCTTGCTGAAGAACATAATCTCAACTCCCGAGACACTGAGGGAATTCATCCGTGTGAATCCATTCGCAGCTCTGGTCAAAATACCTTGTTTATGTTTCGTTCCATCACTACGGGCGATGTGCAGAAGATTATTATGAGTATACCGTCTAACAAAGCTCCCGGTTGCGACAAAGTAAATGCAAAAATTCTGAAAGATAGTTCACCAGTTATTGCTCCCATCATAACTAGTCTTATAAATGACTCCTTTTCTCTGGGCAGTTTTCCACTACAATGGAAGAAAGCAGAAATCGTTCCAATCATTAAATCAGGCGACAGTGAGGAACCTGCCAACACAAGACCAATTTCACTACTACCCATTTTATCTAAAGTATGCGAAAGAGCAGCTCACTCGCAACTAGTCAACTTCCTTGACTCAAACAATATAATATATCAAATGCAAAGCGGAAACAGAAAATTTCACTCAGCCGAGACCTCATTACTTTATTTCACAGACGAACTACTAAATAACATGGATCACAGAAAGATGTCGGTTATAGTTCTCTTGGATATGTCCAAAGCTTTTGATAGCATTCGACATGACTTGATGTTGCGAAAACTTCGCAACGTTGGTTTATCGGAAATAGCTTGTACCTGGTTCGAGAGTTATTTGACACAACGTCAACAAGTTGTAAAGATTCAGGATACCTTGTCCAGCCCTCTACCCTTAACAGTCGGAGTACCGCAAGGATCCATCCTGGGCCCAGTATTGTTTACATTATATGTAAACGATCTCTTTCGAGTTCCAAAACACTGCAAACCCCTGGGCTATGTGGATGACACAAAAATTTTCCTCGGGTTCCCCTCAAACAAACTTCAAGACGTTATCTCTGCTGTAAACGAAGATCTAGAAGAAATATTGAGTTGGTGTTGTAGAAATTCGCTGCTCATAAACCCTGATAAAACAAAACTTCTCTATGTGGGCGTCCCCCAACTAATGAGAACTTTACCTGCCACTCTTCCAAGTGCCACAATATTGGGAACTGAAATCAAGCCTGTGACCGTAGTTAAGGACCTGGGAGTGCACATTGATTGCCATCTTAATTTTAATGAGCACATCACAAAAACGGTATCTGACTGTATGTTTAAATTAACGAGAGTCAATAGGATAAAACATTTACTGGATCGAAGCACTCTGATATACCTCATAAACGCTTTCGTCTTTTGCAAACTTTTTTATTGTTCGACAGTTTGGAGCAACACAAGTAATAAGAATATCAAAAAACTTCAGTTAGTCCAGAACTACGCTTGCAGGATCGTGACTGGCTTGAAAAAGTACGATCACATCACAGAGGCACTGAAGTCTCTTAAATGGCTTAACGTAAAGAAAAAACTACTTTTTAATGACTTAGTCATGGTTTATAAATGCATCAACAACTTGACTCCTAACTATCTCTGTGAACGATTTAAACAACGTTCCGAAATTCACCAAAGAGATACCAGACAGAAGAGCGAGCTTACGTTGCCCAAGTGCAGGATCGCGGCTGGGCAAAGGGCTTTTGCCTTCCGTGGGGCTAAAAGTTATAATTTTTTACCCAAATTTATCAGAGACACAGATAGCCTAAGTGGTTTTAAAAAGAAAATTTTTAAGAATATTCTTAATTCGTAACATGTGACTTTAGTATTGAAATATAAGCTAATTTTTTTTTTATTTTTATTTTTTTTTATTTTCTTATTTTTTTTTAATATCATGTTATCTTATTATGACGTTTTTACGACTTAATATCTTATATTCATGTATGGCGGAAGAGCCCCCAGGGGGGAGCTATGCAATAAAGTATGTATGTATGTATGTATGTATTTATTGTCTCTGTTGCTGCTACTGTCTCTATCACTGTCACTGTTAGTCACTCTTACTGTCTGTCTCTCTGTCACTGTCACTATCATTGCTTCTTACATTGCATCTCACTTTTACTGTCTCTGTCACTGGCACTTTATTATAACTGTCTCTCTCACTGTCACTAATATTACTGTCTGTCACTATCTCTGTCTCTCCCTCACTTTCAGTCACTGACTTTCCCTGTCACTTTCACTGTCTCTGTCACTGCTACTTTATTATCAATCATCGTCACCAACTCAGTCTGCGTATTTGTTTTTTGTCTCTGTCTCCCTCTACATGTCAGTCAGTCACTCTTACTGTCTCTTTGTCAGTCTCTTTCTTACTGGCCTTGCCTCTGTCACTACCTCTGTCACACACTTTCCGTCACTGTCACTCACTGTCCGCGACTCTCTTAGTCTCGTGTCTCTGCCTAATCACTTGCACTGTCATTATCACTCTCATTAATTCTGCCTATCTCTGTCACTCGCTGTCTCTTTCACTATCAATGTTACTGCCATCGCAATTCTTTGTTTCTGTCACTGTTATCATCACAGGCATTGTTACTGCCTCTGTTTTGATCAGTGTAAGTGCCTGTGTCACGGTCACTGTTACTGTTAGTGTCTATCTCTGTCACTGTCATTATTAGTGTCAATGATACCTCTGTCAATACCACTGTCACTCTTCCAGGTCACTGTCACTGTCTTGTCTTTGAAACTCATTATTGCTGTCTCTACAGTCTCACTGCTGAAATAGTGTTCATTACCGCATTAATTAATCCGCAGTTCACGTTTATGATCTTCATATATTTAGTCATTGATTCATCACTTCACTTGTATATTATGAGCCAAAAAAAATTACCAGTCCCAGTTTGCCTTTTAGCTGAATTGGTAGAGCCCTGCACTGGTATCGCAAGGGTCATGGATACATTTTCGGTGCAGGCTTGATATTTTTTTTCGGCTTTATTTCCACTACTGCTTCAGTAGTGTTCATTACAGTGGAGATCACTATCATATTTATTTATCAATCCGTAGCTCGCATAGATAATTTTCATATATTCGCAGTCAGTAACTTCTTTGGCACTGTTTCTCTCTCGATCACTTTCACTTTCCTTCTCTCTTATAGTCAGTATCTCTTTCCTTACGAGTCTCTTTCACAGTCAGTGTCATCTTCACTCTCACAAGCTCTGACTTTTATTAGCACCGTTACAGCCACCATCATAGTCATTGCCACTGTCATTGTGTCTATCACGACTTCAGTCACTGCCCGTGTCAATGTCGCTGTCTCACCGTCACTGGTACTCTCTTTCATTTTCACTTTTAGTCACTTACTCTGTCTCTTACTGTCTTTTGGTTTGTCAATATCATGGCTGATGTCACTGTCACATCATTTGAGACTGCCTCGGTCACTGCCACTTTCACAGTTATTATTGCCGTCTCTGAGACTACTGCCCTCACTGTCTGTCGACGTCACTGTCTCTGTCACTTTAACTCTCGTAGCCAGTCACTAACTCTAATTTGAGTTATTCTTGAAGTCTAAGTCACTGTGACTACCAACTTTTTGTTACTGTCATTGTATG